CCCAGGAAGGCCCCAAGACGGGCCAAGACGGACCCAGCACAACCCAAGGCGCGCTGCGACGGCTCAAGACGGCTCCAAGACAGCCCCAAGAGGGTGCCAACACGGCCCCTGCTGGGCCCAGGACGGCCCAAGGAGGCGCACAGGAGGGGCCCAAGACGACTCCAAGGCGGCCTCCTCACGGTCCCAGACGGCTCCAAGACAGCCCCACGAGGACCCCGATGGGCCCAGGACGGCCTACGGACGCGCCCATGAGGGGCCCACGACGAACCAAGACGGCCCCATCAGGGCAAACGGCGCCCTCAAGACGGGCCTAGACGGCTCCAAGACGGCCCTTTGAGGGAGCCAACGCGGCCCCACACCCTTCGGGCGCACACTTGGGGGGGCTGGGAGCTTGCGACAAGTCTCCCACATTCATTGTCCTGCCCCATTCTGTTCGCCTGGAGGCCTCCTCCAACCCTGTGGGCGAACAAGAGGAATCCCAGCGGGACGCCAACCCTGGGGCCCGTGGGCCCCGCGCCGCTTGGGCAGAAGACGAACGCCGGGTCTGACAGGCCAGCTACCGCCCCCCTTTGCCCGATATGCTGTGCCATTCTGTTCCCCCAGGGGCCTTGGCAAACTCTTCGGGCCAAGCAGACCGGACCCCTGGGACAGCAGCCAATTGATATGACCCTGGGACCTCTCCGCATTCTTCGGACGAGCATCTGGGGGGCCCAGGAGATTCGGACATGTCTTCCCCATTCCTTGCCCTGTCCCGTTCTGTTCGCCCGAAGGCCTCCACAGACCCTCTGGGCGAACAGAATGGGACATGGCGAACAAACCCTCCCGTTGGCGGTGATGCGACTGGATCGCACCATCAAGGCGCGCCCGGAGGTGATGGCCGACCCAACAGCGGTTTCTCTTAAGAGTTCACTGGATTTCAAATTTTCTTGAAGCTCTCTTGGGCCCTCCCTGTAGATCCTTGCGAGCCTCCCCGGCGCTTTCGGTGGCTTTCCCCGATGGCCTCCCGAGCCCTTCCCCGAGCGCTCCTGAGACGCCTCAGATGGGCTTCGACTTCGACGCACATCCCCGAGAGACTTCGAAACTGTCCTCAATAGGAGGGGGGTGAACGAGCAGTGCGCTGGGCCAAGCTGCTGCAGCGCTGCAAGAGCTCGGACACGAAGGCGCGGTCTCGCTGCCGCCGCCCGAGCCGCCGCCGTGTTTGTAGATTTTCGGTACAATCTGCGCCGTTCCTCCGAGAACCATTCCAGAAAGATGTCGTGGACGGAGTCCACGGGTCAGCCCTAGTCAGCTACAATGCTGGGACCAGCGCGTGCGAGAAGGGCGAGCAGTGGCAGCGGGCGCTCGCGCTGCTGAGTGAGATGCGGGAGGCGGAGCTGGAGGCCGACGACTTCTGTACTACAAGTCTGGTCGTTGCGCGTGCGAGATGCGCCAGCAGTGCGCCAGCTGCCCCCGACCGCCAAGAGCGCCCCGCCGCTCTTCGACGGCTCCCGAGAGCCTTCAGGTGGCTCCAACACGGCCCCAGACAGCCCGAATATGGCTCCAAGACGCTCCGGAGGGCGCAAGGACGTCCCAGGAGAGGCCCAGGCGGACCCCGATGACCGTTCCCCGAGGCTAAAACCATCTAGCTCCCATTGATTGTCCAAGGTTTTCGCACGTTCTCGCCCTTTCGGGCCAAGAACGGCCCCAGACGATTCCAAGGCCATCCCAGATAGCACCCAGACGGTCCAGAAGGTACCGCCAAGTGCCCTAAGACGGCCTCAGGGCCCGAAGACTGCCTAAGAGAAGCCCAAGGCAGCCTCATAGAGTCCCTGGTGGCCCACAAGACAGCCCCAAGAGAGGCCTACGTAGGAGCTGCCCAACAGGCGCCAAAGCGAGCTCCAAGACGGCCCGAGACCCTTTACATGGCCCCAGGATGGCCCAAGAGACCCTCGGGACGGCCCAAGACGGCTCAGGAGGACCCCGATGACGGCTTTACGAGGCGAAAAAACAAGCCCAAACCTTAAATGTTTCACGCCTTTCCACGTCCTCCCCATGACGGTCCCAGAGCGGCACCACACGGCGCCAGGTCTTCCTAAGATCTCACCGAGATGGCCCACGAGGCCCCCACGAGCCCACCAAGACGGCTGGTGAGAGCCCCAAGACGGCCCCAGAACAGGCCCCGGAGAGCCTAACAGAGCCTCAAGTTGTTCCCCAAGACGCCCCAGGAGCTGCCCCGGAGGGCCCACAATTGGCTCCCAGAGGGCCCCAGACACCCACCCTCGCCCCAAGATCGCCCAAGAGATCTCGGGACGGTCCCAGGAGGCCCACGAGAACCCCAGTGACGGCCCCACGAGGCCAAAAATCTAGCAAATACATGATGTTTCCAAATGTTTCCGCACATGTGACAGGCCCAGAGCGGCCCCACAGGGCTTCAGGCACTTCTGCGATCGCCTTAGATTTGCCCGATAGGCCCCGACGAGCACACCAAGGCGGCCCAAGAGTGCCCTGCGGGAGGCTGCAGCGAGACTGGATTGCGGACTTCCCGCAGCCGTCGATGCCACGAGACCCCTCGGAGGACCACTTCGAGGTACCCCATACCCTCCCAAGACACTCGCAGGCAGCCTCCAGCCCCAGAGCCCAGAGCCTGCAACAAACCCGAGAGCCTGTCGGCCCCGAACGCGCAAGTGCCGCCTGCGATCAGCGCCACGTAAGCCTTCGGCACCGACACCTCGATCTGCCAGCCGTGCATTTCCCACGGGGCCACGCTGGTCTCTTCTGCAGTGCAGCGCCTCCCGCGTCCAGCAGGGCCTGCGTCGAACAGGGCGTGTCTGGTGCTCTGGCAGGCCCGGGCCAAACAGAGAGGGCCCGGGCGTTCCAGGACGGCCCAAGAACGGTCCAAGATGATCTGGGACGCCCCCAGGCGGTTCACGAGGTCGTCAATGTGGCCTGCAAGCACGGCCCAACGGGGCCCCAAGGTGGCCCAAGAGGGCTCCACAAGGCCCCCCCCGTTCTCGCGCCTTCTCGGGCCCACGACGCTCCACGACGGCCCGAGGTTCCCCCCGCATCGCCTCAAGGCAGACGGCCCAGCAGGCCCCCAAGAGGGCCCCGGGACAGCCCAAGACGGCCGCAAGACGGCCGAGGAGGCCCCCACCGGCCCGATGACAGCTCCGAGAAGAACCCACGAGAGCCCCAAGAGGGGGAGCTCGAACTGACACTTCGCACCCTCCGCCCCGAGAAGGCCGCCGGCGGGCCCCCGAGAGGCCCCCCAGAAGCCCCAGGAGGCCCCCGAGGCTCGAGGCAGGCCCCGAGAGAGGCCCCCCATCGAGGCCTCAGGACGGCGCCAACATCGCCTGCAGGAGGCTTCCGTGGGGAGGTCCTCTCGAGGGCTCGGGGACCGCGCCGGCCGCCCAGGAAAGAGCCCCGCGAGCGGCCCACGAGGCGGCCAGACGTTCGGCCGCACGCGCGCCGAGGCCACTGAGACAGCCGTGCGCCGGCCTCTCCTCCTGCCTCCCCAAGCTCGCTCCCTCGCTCCTCGCCGCCCTGGCCTCGCGCTACTGCCTCTCTCCTCGCTCCTCGCTCCTCGCTCCTGGCTCCTCGCTTCTCGCTTTCCCTTGCTCCTCCCACCTCTCTCCTGGCCCCACGCCTCTCTCTTCTTTCTGTTTGTTTCTTTTTGTTTTTTTGTTTTTTTTCTCTCTCTCTCTCTCTCTCTCTCTCTCCGCGGCGCCAGCACAAAGCAGGAAACCGCGCACCTCGCACCCGCCACGTATCACCGGACGTAACTGAAAACATGCCCCTCATCACCCGCGCACATGCCTCGCAGAAAATATCCCTCAATATCCGTTGTACGAGCCTGCTCCCCAGAAGCCGTCGGACGCCTCTTGCGACGAGCCACCCCTGGACACATCGAGTAAACGGCGAGCACAGGTCTAAGCTTGGCTTACGCCGCAGCTCCTCGTCCTGTGCCCTTCAGAACCAAGCAACCCTACCGCAACGCCCGAAACACCAAACCCGACGCACAGGATCGCAAGCTGCATGCCACGTCGCACCGCAAGCAAACGCGCCGACATCTCCACAGCATTCACCGAGACCAGAGTACACATCCACGCACCCGTAGTGAACGCACACCAAGCATGCTCGCATGCTCGGCATGCTCGCCCTCGAGTTTCCCGCTCCCCGCATCCAACGCCGTTATCCGACCACCCGCCGAAGCGGTTGCCTAAGTATTATGACCTCTTCTGTGTCCCGCCCGCGCTCTACCCCTGCCGAGGCGGTGGCCGACCTCCTACGTGATCTTGGTTAACACCGAGCAGAAGAGCGAGCGACAACGCAACCAAGCAAGCAAGCAGGCAAGCTGATAGGAATAGAATCAGAAACATTGGCCAGCACGCAAACAGAAACACCTGGTATGGAGTTACTGGGGCAGCAAGCTAGCAGCCTTGCGAGCATGGCAGCGCGCAAGCATGACAGCAGGCACGCGATTTCCACCGCTGCGTGCGAATCAGCTGTCGTGGACGTAAGTCCACGGCTCTACCGTAGTCAGCTACAGCGCTGCGACCTGCGCGTGTGAGAGATGCGGCCAGTGGCGGCATGCGTTGTCGCTGCTCAGCGAGATGCGGGAGTGCAATGTGAAGACGAGCGACATCTGTTACAACGTGTGCACCACAGCTTATGAGAGGTCGTCTCGCAACTCGGCAGGATTTCCAGGCTATCTTGGGATTGGGCTTTCGCGTTTTTGCGTGTCTTGCAAAGCACTTTGCGTGTGAGAACTTGCTGGGCAACCATTGTGATTTCGTGGACGGACATCCGTATTGTGAATTTGACAGCGGCTTCTATCGCGCAGAAAGCGCTGCTCCGGATAACATTACACGGATCCGCCCTGGTTGGCTACAGCGGTGGGATCAGCATTTGTGTGAGAGAGAGAGAGGCGTGCAGTGAAAGCGGGTCATGCTGCTGTTCAGCGAGATATCGATTGCGAAGTTGGAGCCCAATGTCGACAGCGGCTCAGCGAGTTGTTGGATGCGATGTCGGAGCCGAAGGTCATTTGTACCAACTCTGAGCGAATCGCGTGCCAGATATGAAAGCGGTGTACTAGCTCCCTTGCCCCCGACACCGAGCCAGGATGCTCCAAGGACGCCCCAAGCGGCTCGCAAGATCCAGTGCCCTGCACGAGGGCCCAGTTGAGTTTACCACACTCCAAAGAGGGTCCACAACGCTCCTCGCCCCTCGCATTTCTCTTTGCTCCTCGCTGAGCCCTCGTTTCTCCCACCTCCATCCTCGAACCTGACTCCTCGCTCTTTGCTCTTCGCTCCTCCCTTCTCGATCCCCTCGCGAGCCTCAGGTTGCGTCAGCCAACTGGCAGGAGCAAAGAGAAGCAACACCCTGCAGGCTAAGAAGCAGAAGTAGCGAACAGCAGCAGCACGCAGCCCGCCTCAAGCACCACCAGCGGCAGCACAGAAGCATCAAGCAGCAGCAGCATGGAGCAGGCAGCAGCATCCTGCAGCCGCAGGCAGCAACAGCAGAGCCGAAGCTCGGGCCCAGCGTCATCATGGAAGCGCTCCCGCAGCAGCTGCGCCCCGATCCAACGTGCCATCTCGGATAATCTTCGAGACCAGCATGCTACGGGTCAGCACTAGTTAGCTACAATGTTGGGATCAGCGCGTGCGAGAAGGGCGAGCAGTGGCAGTGGGCTTTGACGATGCTAGGGGAGATGCGGGAGGCGAAGCTGGAACTCAACGTCTTCAGCTACACCGCCGCGATCAGCGCGTGCGGGACGGGCAAGCAGTGGCAGCGGGCTTTAGCGCTGCTGATGGAGATGTGCAGGGCGAAGCTGGAACCCGACATTATCAGCTACAGCGCTAGTACCAGCGCGTGCGAGAAGGGCGCGCAGTGGCAGCGGGCTTTGGCGCTGCTCAGCGAGATGTGTGAGGTGAAATTGAAGCCCGACGTCATGAGCTACAATGTTGGGATCAGCGCTTGTGGGAAATGCCAGGAGTGGCGGCGGGCTTTGGCGTTGCTCTGGGAAATGGCAGGGTCGAGATTGCAGCCCAACGTCATCACCTGCTCTGCTGGGATCAGCGCGTGCGAGAGAAGTGGGCAGTGGCGGCAGGCGCTGTCGCTACTAAGCGACACGAGGGAAGCACAAGTGGAGTTGGAGACAAACATGTACAGAAGCGTAATCCCCATGTGCGAGCAAGGTGGTGAATGGGAGCGGTCGTTGTCATTGTTGGGCGAGTTGTGGGAGGCGAGAAGATGGTGCTGACGGCAGTCAGCTGATAGCTAGACAACGAGGTGGCCATCGCAATCGACAAGGTGTGACGTGGAAGCGAGTGCTTTCGCTCTGGGATAGCTGCGTCACGCCTTTGGCCCCTCAGCAAACACCAGCAGCGCCATGCTTCGGTGTTGTCGGCGGGCTCTGGTTGCTCAGTGACCCGTGCACAACGGAGCAGGAGACGGACCACGCCAGCCACGATACCGAGATCGGTGTGTAAGGGGGCCAGTGCCGCCCATGGGCTCGTGGCGCCGGGCTGCAAGGTCGTAAGCTCACCGCGTGCTTCACATGCGCTCGAATGAGGTGTATTGGTATGGCTGCACGGCATGTGATATCCACGCCACGCGGTAGCTCTGCTGCCCATCCAGAAACCAGCATGCCCCACTCATCATCGGGCAAGTGACCAAGTTCGAGGAGACCCGCCAGCCCGCTAAACCTGAGGAGAATCAGGTGGAGGAGACGGTGCGGGCCCAACAGCGCTGGGACCAGCCATCGTGTGAATCAAGCGCGATCAGTGGCAGCGGGCCTTGGCGCCGATGGGGAAGGTGCGGAAGGCAGAGCCGAAGTCCCACGGTCATCAGCTGCGACGTTGGGACCAGCGCGTGTGGTAAAAGCGAGCAGTTGCAGCGGGATCTGGCGCTGACGAGCGAGACGTGGGGGGGCGAGGATAGAACGCGAAGCAGTCAGCTTTAACGCAGGAGTCAGCGCGTGCGAGCAGGACCGGCAGTGGCAGTGGGCATTGGCGCTGTTGAGCGAGATTTGGGAGGCGAAGCTGGAGCCCGACGTCTTCTACACTACAACGCTCGGCTCCCAGCGCTCCCGAGGCGCTCCCGGGGCGCCCAGCGCTCCCGCGGCGGTCCTGGACGGCCTTGGGCGGACGCGAGAAGGCTCCAAGACGTCCAACGACAGCTCAGAGACACTCAAGAGAGTGCCCGGATGGTCTTAGAGAGCCCGAAACGAGCCTCATAATGGCTCAAGACGGCGCCAAGACAATCCAGGAGGCCTCGCAAGACGGCCCAAAGGACTCGGATAACGGCCCCACGATGCTAAGATCGTAGATTCTCCATCGTTTTAAACGGATGTTCAGGTTCTCTCCATTTCGCCCGAAGAACGGCTCCAGACGGCTCCCAGCGCCTCCTAGATCGCCCTATCAGTGCCCATCGGGCTCCCAAGAGAGGCCCTAGACAGCTCAATGGTCCCCATAGTGGCCCAAGAACGCCCGAAGACGGCCCCAAAGAGCCCCATGTGCCCTCCAAGACGGCTGCAAAAGAGTCCCACAGAGCCCTTGAGAGCCCCAAGGACGCCCCAGGAAGGCCCCAAGGCGATTCCAAAATAAGCTTCCCGGGCTGCGACCTGCTGCTCCATGCACCACGTCGAGGCAGGCGCCGGAGGAGGAGGGGGTGGAGGAGGAGGAGGAAGAGGAGGAGGAGGAGGAGGAGGAGGAGGAGGAGGAGGAGGAGGAGGAGGAGGAGGAGGAGGGGAAGGAGGAGGAGGAGGAGGAGGAGGAGGAGGAGGAGGAGGAGGAGGAGGAGGAGTCGGGAGTCGGGAGTGCCAGGACGAAGTCCAGATGAATAGGAGAGCGGGGCCAGATCCCCCGCCACTAAGGCCCCTTATGGGCCCCAGTCTTCCTCACGAGCTCAGCCTTACTGTAAGCCTTGGGGAATAAACCCCGCTCGATTCGGGAAAGATACTCGGCACGGGTATCGGACACCACCTTGGGGCACAACTTACCCAAACCTAACAATTGTCGGTCCCCGTACATCCCACAGGTGGCGCAGAACCAGACCCCTAGGTCCTGGTGGAAGCGCAACATGTGGGAGGGGTGGGTCCACCCCCCAGCGATGTGCAACCTCGCCCCAGCTGGGAGTCCTCTAAGGGAGCCATCAATAGACACTAGGCGAAAACACTGGGAGCCTCTCCAAGATCTAGCTAGCGAGACAGACGCGGACCCACGGCACCGTCGGCACCTGCGGCCCGTATCATCCAGGGCGTGGCTAGACTCGAAAATCGACACAGTGTCAGCAGACGGCGGCGGCGGGGGTGCAGGGACGGGGGCCGCGAGGCCAGGGGAGAGGGCTGATCCTTCACCAGTGCTCTCGCCGACCGCGGGGCCACGGAGGCCCTTGCCCCCCCGCCGCCTAAACCTACCTACCTGGGAACCATCACTCAGAAGCTTTTCCTCGGCGGCCATCGCGTCAAGCGAGGATCGGAGAATTCGCATTCTAATCCAGAACACTTCCTGTTCGAGAATCATAATCGGGGAGCGGACGCTGGCGGGCAAGCGGGCGCGATCAGCGCCATAACATGCCAGGACGTCCGCGAACACATTGCCATGCACGAGCCAACGTTCGGCCTTGCCAGCAACAATATCTGTGGCTTCCATATGGCTGTGGGTGAAAAGGACAACGACGTGGCCCCGCTCGCGAGGCTTCATGATCTCGCCGATCTGAGCCCACAAATCGCTGTTCTCACCCTGTGGCTGGCGATCGCGGGCCGCGTGCCAGCCGTCAAAGACTGTTTTGTTATCGGTAACGTAGATGAGGAAATCGGGTGCCCACCGAAGGGCACAGAAGAAAGTGAACAACTCGCCACGAGGAACCGTCTGCTGGAGCCCTGGCAGGATCCCTGACAGCGTGCTCGAGAGGATCATCGAGGACTCGTCTTCGAACTGGGCCAAGCCGACGCCGACGCGTCTGAACAGCGGGCTGGAGGAGTCGGCCCCCCCGCTGGCGTCCCCGAACAGAAGAATGGGACGAGCGGCTGAGCCTGGGCCGAACCCCTCCGACAGCACGTCATCGTGAGAGCCCCACCAACTCTCGTCCATCGGCGGCGGCGGCACCTGCATGCGTCCCGCTGGCAGCAGCCCACGCAGCCACAGGGCCTCCTCGGCCTCATGCTGGGCCCACGCCTGCGGGCAAAGGTAGTCCGACTGCACGTAAGCCTCCTCCCCGCAGTTGGCCTTGCAGCCCCAGATGCGGTGGAAGGGGGTCTCTGGCGCGCACCTGCAGCGAGCGCAAATCGGATCGACCGTGACCCGACGCGCTGCATCAGCCCGTCGCTGCCTTGGCCAGCTGCCGCCCGCGGCGACGGAGACCAAGAGCTCCGCCAAGCGGCGCCCGCGCGGCGCCTGCGCCAGCTGGCGGAGCAGCTGCCGCATGGAGGTGAGCTCCGTGCCGCCGCCGAGGCCGCCTCCGCAAAAATGCCGCTCCGCCTGCTGCCAGAGGAGAGCCTCGGAGGCGCGGTCGAAGTCCACGAAAAACTGCTCGAGCCCATTGAGCGCCATGACGTCCGAGTAGCACTCCTCGGGGAAGCGCCATTCGGTGCCGTCGGCCATGACCCACAAGGTGGGCGTCTTGGAGTCCCACTGCCGCTCCAGCAGGTACACGATCACCGCAGACATGGGACCGCGAACGTGCCTGGAGCGCCGGCCTGCTGGGACCGAGCGGAGGCGACTGACCACCGACTGCCATGCACGATGAACGCCGCCTCGAATGCCTGGGGAGGTGAACCACTGCTTCAGCCAGAATTCCAAGCACTCGTGAGGAAACTTGATGCCTGGATCCTGCAGCGGCTCCTTGATGGCCATGAGGGTGGTCTTGCATAAGCCACGGCCCCCGCCGCTCAAGACGGCGGCCAAACTCCTTCTGAAATAATCCATGTGGGTGCCGAACGCGCCGAAGATCTGGTGACCGTAGTTGCCAGCGGCAGCGGCGCTGGTACGCTCAAGCCTGCTCGTGACAGTGAAAGTCTTGGCAGCTCTGGCGTAACGGCGGATCTTGGAGTGGAGCTTCGCATGCTTGGCAACTCTCTTGCGACGGCTCTGCCTAGCGTGGCGTGTGCCGCCGCCCTGATCAATGCCAAGGAAAGGAGCCTGACGAACCGCACGCACCAAGAACCCACGAGCGCGCAGGCGGCGAGAGATCTCAACCGCATCACCGTGGACCGAGCAAACGATGACAGACTTGGGCGAGACGTCCAGCTTCCACTTAGCCATCTCGTCGCACGTGTCTGCCAAGCATGCCGTGACCTTGGTGCGGGGATGGCTGCTTGGTCCAATCATGCGCTGGGAGAGGTCGTCCACCCAAATCCTGTGGCTAAAAGACACATGAACGGTAGAAATCTTCGCGAGCACAAAATGAACCATACATTTAGCAAATCGAGTGCCTCCTCGGAGGCCTTGAATGATGGAGTGCTCGACGGTGAAAGGGTCGCACACGGCGCCAAATTGCCCCAGCGTGCGCGGAGCCATGCACTGGGCGACCTCGAGAAAGAGCACCGCAGGTGGGTATCCCAGGCGCAAGGCCGCGCCGAGGAGCAGGTCCCACTGGATGGCGTCGTAGAAGCCCTTCACGTCCAGCATGCCGTGGGCCGAGGCGAGCTTCATGGCAGCGGCCACCTCGTCCCCCAGCGTGCGGAAGAAAGCCTCCTGAAGGGAGGCGTTGCCCAGGACGGCTGCGTCCCAGCCCTCCTCGGCGACGCTGGCCCATTCCCGTGCGTGCACCTCCCGCACGAGAGACCAGAGCCTCCCCGTGAGGGAGGTCAGGCCGATGATTCTATCTCCATCGGCCTTCTTCGGGAGAAGCTTCCCGATGATGAACTGAGTCTGCTGCGGCCAGACCAAAGCCGCCTGCAAGTAATTGAAAAGGGCCGCCAGCTCATCAAGGCCCGCGGCTGGGACACGCTCGATGTCCACGGGGGTGAGGCGGTCGGCGCCCATCCCCGTCTTGCACTTCATGCGCCGAGCGGCGGCGCGCACCTCAGCACCTGTGATGGGTGGGAGGGGCTCATCGTGCGCCGCCACTCGCACCTCGTCGACGACCGTCTTCAAGGCCTGAGGGTCGTGAGGATGAGCATTCCAGATGGCCTTCCACTGGCGCGCCTTGGCGTCGAGGATGTCCTTGGGATGCACGAGGGTCGAGCTGCCAACGACGATCTCTTGGCGAGGGAGGGCGTCCTCGCGCAGCGAGCGGTACACCGCGCCGCTGGCCTTG